TATCCCAGCGCCTCCGCCTGCCGCCGGGCCTCAGCCAGTGCCAGTGCGTTGGAGCCGATGATCACGTTGAGGACGTGGCCGCAGGTGTGCGGCCCGTGAGGGTCCGAGTCCGCCCGGGCCAGCACAGTTTTCACCGAACGTGGCAGGGCAGCACGGAGGCCATAGCGATTGAGGATGTGCAGGCAATCCTGCACATTGTGGACGCTGGCCACGGTGGGGCCGCTGGCGATCACCTCCACGGGGTCTCCCACCACGTCCGACAGAATCAGGCTTACCACCTGGGAAGAGGTTGAAGATGCAAAGCTGAGTCCCGCCTGGTCCTCACCCCAGAGCTCTGAGGACAAACTGCCCCTCCCGACCACCCCACTTCCCATGTAGCCATACACCCTCCACCACCTGCTGCACTTCCTGGCCCCTTTCTAACCCCTCTCAAGTGGGTTTGCAAAACACCCAGCCATGTGGACTCAACCTCGCCCTCTGAGGTCCCTCTTTGATGGTCCTGTGAACTCCATACCAGGTCCCTGCCAATCTGTAAGCTGTTTGAGGCTTTCATCTGCTGGGCACATGTGGGCCTGATTCCACAAACCCAGGGCTGCCTGGGTAAGAAGTGACTCACACACCTGGGCAGGGTAGGCAGCCTGAGCGAGCCCCCCACCCTTGAGCTGGGACAGGGCCTTCCGGATGGTGTTCAGCTCCTGGATTGTGGCTCCACGGGCCGCCAGCAGCTTGGTGAGTGTCTGCTTCTCCTCCAGTGTGACGGGTGGGATGGGGGCGGGCAGCAGGGCCGAGCCCCCACCTGCAGAGACAGGGAGGACTCTAGGCAGAGGGGACAGCAAGGAAATGTCCTCACCCAGGGATGCAGGTGGGCAGTGAAAACATGAGGGAAGGAATGAAGCCTGAAAGGCAGAGTTAGGGTGCCCCATATGGACATGCAGTGAATGTGTGCAGTCACCACACCCTGGGCATCTGAGGTTGTGCCCTGCCTTGGGGTACCCCAGGTCCCAGCAGGCACTGGAAGAACTATTCCTTAAGATCTTGAAATAGGCGGCAGATATGGGGGAAGGGGATGGAGAACCAAGGAGAGGGCTCCATAGGGGCTGCAGGGCCTGGGTCCTAGCCCCAGGTGACATTGGTACAGACAGCAACAATAGCAGTGACATTTCCCTTGCAAGACTGTGAGGTAGGTGCTCCCTTTGTGCCCTCATGATCTGCCAATGGGAACCTAGGGGAGGACCCCACAGCTCAGGGGAGGCCAGATGACTCGCCCAGGGCTAGCCATCCTGACTAGCCATCCAGGTTCCTCACTGCCTTACCTGCTTTGTGTCCCCGGGGGCTCAGGCCAATGGTTTCTTGAAGACCTGAAATTGCCCCACCCAACTTTCCCGAGCGATCTGGCACCCACACCTGAGATGAGCACGAGCAGCAGGTCGTCAGCTGTCAGCCCTTCGGCCAGCTGCCGGATGGCTAACGCAGCCCGCAGCGAATCACGGTCCGGCAGGTTGTCCTCTGCACCCTCGAAAACCTGGACACGGCTGTGTGGCTTCAGCAGCATCTCCCTCAGGGGAGAAAGAACAGAGAGTAAGAGATGGGGCGGGCTCCTCTCCTCCCCATAATTTCCCAGCTGTTCATACCGTGATGCCGGCTAATACCCATCCTGGAACCAGGCCAGACCCAGTAGAAAAGGGAAGCTGGTGAGGAAGGGAGGCCCCGATCCAGCCTGAGTCTGGGCCCAGATTCCCCTCCAGATGGACAGTAGGGGGCAGCCCCCCAGAGCTCCTTACTGCTTGCCACTGCACTCCACGGCAGCACGGATCCCCTTGGGAACGCTGATCACGCCCTGCACCAGATGCTGGCCCAGTAGCTCCTCGGCTGCAGCTGCCATGCCCAGCACAGCCTTGCCGAAGCCCACCAGGTAGAGGTTTTGCCGCAGCTGAAAGCTCCGATCCCGCACCTTCAGCTGCCCGCTGCTGGGGTCCAAGGACAGTGCCCGGTGCATCATGGGGCCTGGCAGCACGGCACCAACAGTGTTCTCAAACAGCATCCGAGCCTGCTCTGCCAAGGCCATGCCACTGGCCAGCCGTGCCCCTGGGCCCCCCCAGAGGAGTGGGCGTAATGGGGCTCGGGCCAAGCGGGGCAAGACCTGCAGGGCTCCAGCCATGCCCCACTGCTTTCAGCTCCACCTGGCACCCATAGCCGCCTGGAGGGGAAGAAAACACTAATGAGGCAGTTGCCAGGTCAGAGAAGGGAGCCCCTGAGGGCTCAGGGGTAGTGGACCCCACAGCTGCTGCTGCAAGAATGGACCATCTGCCAGTCCCAGGAGGCTTCCCGAGGCTCCCAGCTGCCGGATCTCACTCCAGTCCTTGGAGCCCAGGCCTGCCGCCCAGCCATGTCCTCCTCTTCTGCCGGCCGCACTGCGGTCCTCTGAACGCTCTGCCCGGAGTCCAAAGGTCCTGTTAGTTGAGCCCTCCTCCTGGGTCACCCACTTTGGCTGAGAGTTAATCATTCGCGGAGTGAGCAATTCCTATCAGTGGGTTCCCGCCCCGCCCCTTGTCCACCCCTTCACTCTGAGCCCTCACCCAGGTGCAACGCCCCTTTCTGGCACTGCTTCCTTGCCTCTTCACCACTTCTGGTGCCAGGAGGCTGCTGGCTGTCCCACCAGCTGACTCAAGCCCGTTGACCTCCCGCCTGCTCCTATTCATTAACTTCTGGGTCTGTGTGGGGCGGCTGCAGGCTTGCCCAGGGCACTCACAGGTCCTGAACATCAAGGCATACAGTCTGCGGAGTCCCAGCACTCACGGCCAGTACAACCAGAGGTTCCGTTTCAAATCAGAAGTGGCAGCAAAGTCTCGCTCCTGGTGGAACCTCAAAGAAACCCCAGATACCAGATGAGGCGATGTACCAGGGGACCCAATCTGCCGGACAGAAAAAGATGCCCTTCCACCTACATGGCTGGCCGGACCCACCCCTGCTAAAAGCCTGCCTTTTGGCTCCCACAGAACAAAACAAGCCTTGGGTCACACCACCCACAGGGGCGAGAGCCAAGCGGCTATGGCAGCGAAAGACCAGGCTCCCACGCTGAGCCCAAATAATCATTTTCCCCACGGGGCAGGGAAAATGCTAAAGAAGCCTTGAGGTGAAGGTCAGGAGGCTGTTGAGGAGTTTAGGGACAATAAAAAAACAAAACCAAAGAGCTTATCTCTAAAAAGGCATCTGCTTTCATCAATGCCCACCATAAATGCTGCCAGTTGACTGCAGCAGCGTGTGGACAGAGCAGGGGAAGGCGGCTGGGAACCAGGCTCCTGCTCCACCATGGGCTTTCTGACTGGGTAGGAAAGCTCCATTTCTCTCACTGACCTCGTCTGCAAAATGAGCAGTGGGAGCCCTGGCTGGTTTGGCTCAGTGGATAGAGCGTCAGCCTGCGTACTGAAGGGTCCCAGGTTCGATTCCGGTCAAGGGCATGTACCTGGGTTGTGGGGTTTCTAACTCTCTATCCCTCTCCCTTCCTCTTCTTTGAAATCAATATATATATATATATATTTTTTTTTTTAAATGAGAAGTGGGATAAGATTAAGACTAATGCTTTCCCCTCGAAATCCCTGGGCTCTCTGAAGCTGTCCACTGTTAACACACAAAACCTGGACACCAAACACCAATTTATCCCACACTCAAAAAACCTGGCAACGTCTCGCCCTCTGAGCCTGCTGGTTTTCCACTTTCCCGTAAGAGACCAACTCTGTCCGCCCCCAGCAGTAAAAGGGAACAGAGAGCACCACCATGCGGACTCTGAAAATGGGCCCAGCTTTTTCCAGGGGGCTCCTGGGGCTGACCCCTATCAGGCTTGGAGTTAAAAGTATCTTAGCATCTAGCAAAAGCTGGGTGAACTTTGTACTTATTCAAAAGCTGGGTGAACTTTGTATTTATTTCCCAAATGGACACAGGCCTAGCGGATCCCTGCCTTGCTACTGGATAGCAGAACCCAGGGCAGGAGGGCATTCAAGGTGAAGGTTGCCAGAGAAAATACAGGGCGTCCAGTCAAATTTGAATTTCACACAAATGAGGAATTTTTTTCTTAACAAACAATTAACAATGTCATATTCGTTTCAGGTGTACAACATAGGGGTTAGGAATTGTTTAATATAGGAATATCCCCTAGAATATTTGGGACATACCTATACTGAAATATTACTTGTTTATCTGAGATTCAAATTTAAGCAGACTTCCTGTATTTTTATTTCTAAACCCAGCAACTCTAATCAGGACAACTCCTCTCAAACTCGCAGGCACTACAGCGCTAAACCTGGAGATTCCAACATCCGCCGTGACTCCTCCCCGCCGCCAGATGGGGCTAGAGCCACTTCCGGCCGTCGCCTGCTGCTGGCACAGGTCCCGGAAGTGACGTCACCTGGGCCGACGCCGCAGGACTTGGCGAGGGAAACGGCTGCGGCGTAATATTGGGTGGTAACCCGAGAAATAGGAGCCCGCTGCCGCCGGGGTCCGCTGTGGCCCGGCCCAAGGACTGCTTCCGCATGTTTCTCGGCGCAGACTTACCCCCGGTTCCCGGCTGCGGCTTCCAGCTCTGGAGGCCGGAAGGCTCGCTGGTG